CAGTCGTACAGTCGTGTTGTTATTGTCGAATGCAGTCGTACAGTCGTGTTGTTATTGTCGAATACAGTCGTACATTGGTGTTTTCATTGCCGTATACGGTCGTCAGTGATTTTGTCATTGTCGTATGTAGTCTTTGTGTTCCTAGTTGTGTTTGCAGCCAAACTTTTACACCTATAGCGGGCTGTTATCGACACCACGCAGTGATGCGAGGGTATCGTTGTTATAGTCAGCTGCGCAATGTATAATTGTTGTTTTTGTTTACTATTTTACTTTGATCGTCGTCATCGCGTACAGTCGCACGGTATATCGATTGTCACTGTTGTTATGTTACTGTTTTTGTCATTGTAGTAGATATCGTTTTGTTTTACAAACATATAATGTGCTTCTTTTTTACGTGGCTATGTCAATGTCTGTGTGTGTATTCGGTCGATAGTCTCTAGTGTTTGTCTATTGTCTATTGTCTATTGTCTATTGTCTATTGTCGATTGTCTGTTGTCTGTTGTCTGTTGTCTGTTGTCTGTTGTCTGTTGTCTGTTGTCTGTTGTCTGTTGTCTATTGTCTATTGTCTATTGTCTTTGTTTATTGTCTTTGTCTTTTTCATTGTGTGTGGTCATTGTCTATTGTCTTTGTCTATTGTCTTTCTTTTGTCCATGTATGAACGTCCTAACTCTGCCAATTAACATAATTGACCATCGCTTACTTGGTCAATTATCAGTATAATTAACAGTATATGTTTTGGCTTGATTTTACCAAAACGTAGTTTCAGTACAGTCAGTTATAAGTCCTGTTTTTAGTTTTTGTTGTTGTTGTTGTTGTTTTTTTTTGCTATAGTAATGTAAAGACCTAGAATGATCCATTTGGTCACCAAACCATGCATTTTAGATCCCAGAGCAATATAATTGTATCAACTTTTAAAATTGAAATGAAATTAAGAGATACTTACTTTTTTTAAAGCTAATGTATAAAACCATCATTCCTTGACATGTACAGGGAATACCCTTTTAAATAGCAGAAAGAAGCTTTAAGAGAAACTTTCTTGATTTTAATTTTCTTATGAACGTTATTTGCAAAAACTGCAAAACCAGGAAATGGACGTCTTCATGCATTCTTGGTTATATTATATTTCTTCTAACTTCTTTGAAAACAGTTGAATGGAAAACTATCAATTCATTCTCTTAATTGTAGAATGGTGCACGCAAAATATTTTCAAAAAGCTAAGATATCCAGAGGAATCCTAGCAATTCCTCTCCTGCTACGCGGTGACTATTGTTTTTTCTTATCACCTGACTATCAAGAAATTGGAATTACGCTCAAGCAAAAAATTAACGTATGATTAATACTTCATTTGAACAAAGTTTTAAAAAACACTGTAAAATTGTTAACTGAAAAAAGGTAAAAAATAATAAAAAGTTTAAAAAATCGTGTGGAAATAATTTAGTAGTAAACTTTGTCTCAATAGACAAGCCTCAACAGTAAATCAATTATAAAAAGCGCGAAAAAAAATATTAAGCTACATAAAAAGCGGCTATCCTGATCTACAAAAATATTTATGCACTAAATCTTGACCTGGTTTCAGCGACTGCTCTAAAAAGAGCTGTTTGAAAACCAGGCAGCTCAGTGCAGGTATTTTTTATCATTTCATTAAAAGTAGTTTCATCTCAGCCAGCAAGATGATGTCGATGTTTGATTACAAATGTTGCGCAAGTAAAATTTGGATAAAATCATGTATAAAAGCGGCACGCATGCGCATAGAGTTAGAATTCAATTCATCTTAACTAACAAGTTGCGTATGACACTATTGCGATTGTATACCGTTGTAAATAGTGACATGTTTGAAAGGAATACATGCAGAACTAAATGCAACTTATGCATATTTAGATTATTAGATCAGACGGTAGACCGTATAATTTAAAACAGAAAAGGCGGGAACTACCATCGAAAAAAAATTAAGACACTCATTTAGATTTGGTCAAAGAAGAAATAACTAGCAAGCGATGAATAAAATATTAATATAAAATCAAAATAAAGAATCAAAACAAAAATTTCAAAAATAACGGACAACAATATTTTACGTTAGTTAAGATGAATTGAATTATGCCGTGATCTAATTATTTTCCTCGGGAAATTATAAAAGTAAAAATATTATAAGGTAGCATAAGTGTTTATCAAAATACAATTTATATTAAAGTGTGTGTTTATAAATTAAAAAAAAATACATTAAAAACATGCATTGGCATTTTAGCATTATACTACTTTGAAAAATAGATAAATAATAATGGATTATTTTAGGTGATAAGTAGTTTTCTCTTAACTTTAAGTTGATTCAAGATGTTACCCTGACTTGATGTGGCTTACGGTTCATGCTTGTCCGCGGTCTTCTCCAAGTTTACCATGCGCAATGCATTTATGTCCCTGAAGCATTTGCTCGAGTTGTGAGATTTCGGCATGTAGACATGCGATGTCTGATTCTAGTTGGCTATTAGCTGATTCGAGTTCTTCTGACGCCTGAAAACCACGAGACAACGAATAGTATTCATCAGAAATTCAGAATGACTTCATTTGCTCCAAGGATTCTGGAGTGTCTTAAATACTTTTGATTCTCAATATTATAACTAAGTGCAATTTGTAATTTTTACAGCTCCAACAGTTTAACGCTAGCCGCTACTTGGAGTCAGTTTTGAGTCCCTTTGCTTCTGGCAATCCAAATTCCAAATTTTATGCAAAGTGCTATCGACTGAAACTCTCCCTAATAAACTACAAGTGAATTAATTATTTTCGGAGTTTGTTTGGCTTTGCGAGAGAATTAAGTTTCGAAAGCAGTTCGTTGAAGCTCAGTGTTTTTGATTGACAAATRAAAACAAGTAACGCAGGCTCATGTTTACAGGAAAGTGAGTGAGTGACTTATAGTGAGTGACAGATTTGTTCCCCTCCAATAACTATTCGTTTGCTTCGCAATGCTCAAGTTAAAAAGACCAAGTTGAGGCCATGTAGCTGTCAACCTTTTCACTCGAATATTTGTAAAAATTGCAGTATTAAATTGCAAAACAGTAAATCCACTAAATCATTGATTTAATTTAGTAAATTGTTCTTCCTTCCAACACTACTTACTGAACACTGGAGGATTTTTTTTAAAGGACAAAGTTCATCAGTATAGAGTACAAACACTAAAACTGTTCAACATAAATACCACTAAATACTACTAAATTATGCTAATTCTATTGTTTTCTATTGTTTTATTGATTAACACTATTTTGTAGTAAATAGTGGAAAGTGTTGCTCACATTTAATGTTTGTACTCTATTAGCTCAGGTTTACCACAAGCAGCCCAGCCATTTATTGAAAGGTTTTTTAACAATGGTTGGACTGCCTGTGTTAAAATAAATTAGATTGACTTACCGTCATTAATTCATTAACATGCTGTTTTCTTTTCATTCGGCATTTTGAGGCAGCAATTTTGTTTCTCATCCGACGAACTTTTCTACGATTCATCTCGTCTTCTGTCAACTAAAAAAAGAATAGTGCTTCCAAATAAGGGAAAGGGTTATCAAATTTGGAGTGGATGACGTTCGCGCTGCTGCTTTTCCTTAGCCATCTTTCTCGTCGGATGGGGAGTGAGAGATGCAAGCGGAAAATATTCACGCATTCATAGAGAACCACATATCAAAGAATCGAAAAAGTTGCCATTCGTCTTGAAGGCATATCTGGCAATTTTATCATATATTATTTTTTATTTATATATTTGGCTTTTTTTAATTTTTACATTTTCAAATTGTTTGAAACTTGCATACATATTACAACGAAAATTTTTCATCAATCGATCATCTTGTTTGCCTCCATTGTATATGACATAATGGACTAAAGCTAAAAGGCATAGGGATCCCACACGATCATTCTCTACTGAATGTCACTGAAAGATTGGAATAAGTAATAATATAGATACTACTTACGTCATTTTTCTTGTTCATTGGTTTATATTCCGTCTTTGGGCACTCAAGTCCGTTAGCAGCACGTTTAGATTCAATGGCGTATCGAAGTTCTAGTTTAACTGGTAAATCAGCAATTTCAAAGTTTGTATCCAAAGGGAATCCGTCTGGTGTTGGGTTCGCTGCATTTCGGATTACTGAGGGATCCATGTAGATGGCACTGCCACCCTAGTAAGTTATAAAAATACATTATTGATTACATAGTGTGGGAGGGTGTAAGGGAAGAGAAGAAAATAGCTTGGTTGGAGTCTAAATGTCCAGTTTCATCAATATCAACTGGGTAATTTGAGAAAATGCGACTAGCCAATCAGCGCAAAGCTGACAAGCTTATGTTGTAAACATAACCCCCCGACGGGAGGAATTTGCACAGCAAAACTCGACCCAGTGGAGTAGGTTGCCTGCCATTTTATTCTATCCGAAAAATCAAAGCTAAACGCAAAGAGAAATTGAAAATCTTTATAAAATAGCTTTTATTAAATGTCAATCAAATATTTATCGTTATAGAAATAGAATTTTATCTTAAAAAAGAAATAACAAATAATTTTTTCTTTAATACCTAGAGACTCCCCTCCCTGATTAAAATAATTGTTCTGTGTTCTACGCGGGTTCTCCATTGCATGACAAGCAATGGTGGACTTTACGAAGACTTCAGAAGGTCTATGAAGCGACGTTGAAGTCCAAAGTATCTTAGGAGGAACCATTGCAAATCCTTTTTCTTAGCTCTTGTTTTTTCTAAGCTTTGAGGTATCTACAACATCACTGAAAGAGCTAGAGCGGCTTAGCTCCACGTATTCCAATAGAGTTAAAGCGTTTGTTAATTTTGGTAGTGACAACAGTCGTAGTTCATCCTTTGTCGCATTTTCGGCAAGAAGCTGCAAGCATGCTCGACGATACAACAGGTTGACGTTATGTAACAGGTCGGTTACACGTACATTTACTAGCTTTGACCTTACAACGAGAGCTGGAACGGTGACTGGGGTTTTTCGCGTAATGCCTTGATAGCGACTGTTTATGTTGAAACGACTCAAAACAAAATTCCATCGTGAAAAAAGTTCGACAAAATTCCCTTCTGAAAAACACGTGTGTAAAGGTGGAAAATGTTTGATATGAGCATTCAATTCTTAAAGGTTTAATTCTATAATCATTTTGTTTAGTTATGTAAATAAATTTAACACGACTTGTACTGTTTATCTGAGTGAAAGGAGAGCTGCGGGTTTTCCCTTTCYTTTATTTASAYTTTCAAATATGACCGCTTAACAAAAATGCACGGTCTCACTGGCTTACAACCTTGGCGAATTCATATGCAGGCCTGGTCGCAAATCAATCACCCAGAAAGAATTGTATGTCATTGGTGCGGGTTCCCTGTGCTTTTTAGTTTTGGGCTTAATTTAGAAAATCCATGCCATATATGGAAGCAAACAAAATGGCCGATTGTTGAGAAATGTTTTCGCTATAATATCTCCAAGTTTCAGACGATTTCAAGATTTAAAAGACGAGAAAATCCGCAAAAAAAAAACATTCTTATCGTACTTACAAATAAGGTAAGATTACCATATATGTCTGCTAAACGACGGACAACTTTTGTGGGGCAATTCTTTGATATTGAAACGTGAAGCATTTGCCGTCAAGTTGTCTATTAAGCTAACAGATAGATTGATCATAATTAGGCTAAGCTTGATACCAAAGATCACTTAAAAATTGCCGAACACACACAAGTATAATTTATGGCACAGTGCAGGAGAAAAAAAAAATATAATAAAATATAATTATTTTCTACTCGATTTTTCTTTCAAAGAATGAGAAAGAAAACTGCTGTCATAGGATACGAATTCACAATTCACACCGTCAACATTATTTCGCTGTTATAAGGATTCGCAACGCATGTTAATTTAAAAAAATGCAGACTGGGCTGCCTGTGGAGTATCTGACTTTTTTCCGTGTCAAATGACAATTTCCCTCCAAATATAGAACATAACATGGAAAGTTTATCTTTTGAAAACAATAATGGAATACAAATAAATGTCAGTAGTTACAATGGACAATGCTATAATTGTAATAATTGACTTAATATATTTTGTAAACACAAAGCTGATATTTTGAAGGATTTAAAAGCAAAAATACTAGACATACTCAATACGAATTGCGCTGATTAGAAAAATCCAATAGTCAAAATAAATTACCAATGTATTTTACTTAAGTCAAAATCTGACAGTATTTCTTTCTAAAATATCCTTTTTATTCTATACGTCGAATTGTATTTGTATAATAGAGGGCAATTAAAAAAGCAGGTGCTTGTTGTCATATTCTGTCACTTACTTTGACCAAAGTAATGTTAATTCTAAACAAAAGTGACATGCACGCTTACTTCTAGACTCTCAGGCTAATTCCCTCTAATCGTTTTATGTGTTTTTATACCCTAAGGCATTTTTAAGTTCATTTTGAGTAAGGATTAATTCGCAAAAGAACATGATCATAAGTATTTTTGACAACCAGCGGGTGATTGATACCTGTTGCTTAGAACACCTGAAAGCAAAGGCTTCCACACAACGATCAAAACATTCTGTTAAAATCCATCCAAAACCTYTTATTTWAAGCCTTTTTCCAACGCATGCAATAACCCCTTTAAARACTGAAAKTCATGCATTTTTGCAMCCAACGAATGCACRTATCATTTGCACATTTTTAGCTGGGAAGATCAGCTTATCTTTCTGCGCACATTGATTTTAAAAACGTTTTCAGAAACTTGTTATTCAGATTTCTTTTCARTTTCTAAGAAAACAATTGCATTTTAGTCGAYAAAATTCCCCGGATTCACGTTTTTCCAGCAACTATTTGTTTTGAATCAATTGTAGTATCACTCCTATTTAAATTTGACAACTGTTTTTTGTCCAAATAATAAGAAATATAAATGACAGTATTTACCTGTGGAACAAATCCGTAGTCCATGTCTAGTGATGTTATTTGTCTAAAGTAAATCTACGGTATTTCTCTTAGAAGAGGTCGTCAAATTCCACTACATCACTGTCTTTTCCTTCAGTTCCCTTGCGTTATGCTCAAGCTGGGTTTGTTTTGGTCGTATAGATACTTAATTGAATCGTGATGTCATGCGACATTGGTGATCAGGGCTCCACTTTGGCTTTTTGACGCCACCGTGAATGAATCAGTATCTAGGCGACGACCAATCATTGCCAGGCTGTTCATGGTAGACAAAAACAGTCACACTTGATCTATTTATAAAAAAAACTGTCATTAAACTTTAAAATAGATTTACGTTTGTTTTTAYTAATTCTGAATCAATTTTAAATCATTGTTTTGTGATATGTAAAGCATACAGAAACTGATATGACTTTGAGCTTGAGTTGTCAGGTTTTATTTCAACGAATATTTCGCCAAAGACTCTGTATTTCAAGCAAAATATACAGTTTTGTGAAATCATATTTGTGCTAAATCTTGGTTAGACCATTCCCCATTTTAGATTTCAGAATCTAATCATAAGAAATGGAAAAGATCAATGAACATCAGGTCTCAGTGATTTGTGCAATGAAATCCGTCATGATACTCCATTTTCCAATTCGTAGCGAATAACAACTGCTTTATTTGACAAAAGATTCTCTTGCGCAAAGACCTGACCCAACACAAAAGAGTGCACGAGGAAATGCCATTATTACAATAGACTTAAAAATTTGCATTTTCCCCGAGTTGAGACTAACCCTGTATTCCCATAAGACCTAAGGTATGAGCCTACTGGGAATACAGGGTTAGCCTCAACTCGGGGAAAATGCAAATTGTTAGCACTATTGTACTTACAACATTTTCTCGTGCTTTGTTTTGTGTTTGGTAAGTTCTTTGCGTAAAAGAATCTGCTGCAAATATAACGGCGCTTATTCACTTTGAATTCCAAAATGGAGTACTGTAGCTTCTTGTCCAAAAGGAAGTAATTCAAAAGACCAAATAAAAGTTCGTGACATTTTCTAATGTTTGCAACCAATAATGTTCACCTTCATGAAAACAAAAATATAAATGAACAAACACAACCACATGGTATTTTTAATGTAGGAGGAAAAATGTTTTGTCTAGATCTCCATGTAAAATCACACCGAGTACTTGGACAGGAAAAGGTCGCTTTTACATGAAGTTGCCAAACGAGGCGATAATTCAACTGGCTGAATTCGAACAGCTTTTCTGCTGACGAAGCAAAGGTAGCAAAACAACAACAAAGAAAACGTTTAATTTGATTTAACAGGTACCAGTTGACTTTAAAGGTCATGTTCTGCACGAAACACCGACGACTAGCTTTTAACCTTTCTCATTCAAATATCGCAAAAATTTCGACCCTTTGAAAAATTTATCGCTCAGCATGTTGCAGTTATTATGACATGTATTTGCTAATGTTTTGATTTAACAGGTACCAGTTGACTTTAAAGGTCATGTTCTGCACGAAACACCGACGACTAGCTTTTAACCTTTCTCATTCAAATATCGCAAAAATTTCGACCCTTTGAAAAATTTATCGCTCAGCATGTTGCAGTTATTATGACATGTATTTGCTAATGTTTTGATTTAACAGGTACCAGTTGACTTTAAAGGTCATGTTCTGCACGAAACACCGATGACTAGCTTTTAACCTTTCTCATTCAAATATCGCAAAAATTTCGACCCTTTGAAAAATTTATCGCTCAGCATGTTGCAGTTATTATGACATGTATTNATGTGCCTAACTCAGAGACGTAGAAAGACTAGAAATATTACTTTGTCGGTTATGCTTGCAGTAATCCATCTTACCGTTCCCAGCRCCATCTTSAAAGRTATACGAGCCTTTGCTTCAGAGAGAAACAGGAGTTGAGCCTGCTGACAGATACCTTTTGTTGACACTTATAATGGAGATACCTCTTCAGTCCAGATAGTATAGCAAAGAAGCAAAGGGAAAGAAACAAATTACAACAAACATAAAAAAAATTAATACAATGAGAAAATGTTTTCTGATATCTTTATTGATGTTGCATACTACTCATATTGACCAGCAATGAGGAACCGAACTAAACATTCGTTGGGGATATCCAGCAACTAAATCCTTCCTTTTGGTTGGAAATTCCTTTGAAAACCTTAAAACTAGATATATYTTCATCTAATTTATACATCAATGTATTTAAATCTAATATAAGCGTGTTACATACGAATAATTAATTTCTATAACTGTACATATTATATYTTTCCTTTGTAATTTAACATTATATATCATATATTTCTTAGTGAATACCATTCATGASTGTGTATAAATCTATGGTTTCCATAATTGACTGAGTGAGCGAGTTAGCTGTCATATTTTTCATATGACATCGATATCACTCGATATCACATGGACTGGATAAAGTCTTTTCGATATTTAAATAGTGCTACAAAAACGCTGCCTGTGTGGTATCAAATAGAGTGGAGATCACGTGATTGCTTTTACGTCACAACAAATGCCTCTCTGCCCCCAAAAAACAATCAATAGTATAGTGTAATGCTTATTATACTGGCAAGATTAGAATGATAGAGGATGGTTTTTAAGTGCTCATCCTCTTCAAAATGAACTGTACTTCATTGCTTGATTTGATTCCATTCAATAAACCAGCAATTTCTGTAGAATCTTTATATAATTGACTTGCTTGACTTATCGCTCTTCGCAATGCATATTGTTGATATTTATTGCATTTTATTTTAATAGCTAAAYACATATCTTATGCCATCAAATACAGTTTTTCGGAACCCTCTTCATTTCATGTGCGTTTGTTTGCATTAATGCCTTATCGACTCTATTCGTATCCGTTTGCCATCAAATAGCAGACATGCAGCGGAATATATTCATGGACATGCTCAATATGAACTTTATATATGTAGAAGCTACATTCTTCAAACGAATGTGAGGTAACTTCTCTTCATTGAAGATGAAACTTGATATCATTGGACATCAATTTGCTGTTTCCTATGCTCTTAAAGCGGTGTCATTAGGAAAATGACCAAACATGGTGTATCACTGAATATCTGGAACACGCACTCTGTCATGGTTGGCAGCCATATGCCTGGAACAGCTGTGAGAATCTAGCATAAATTCTAGTTGTTTTATCTCGTCATGGAGTTTCGAGATTTGGCTTTGGAGAGTGTTGTTTTGAAGTTCAAGTTGATCTGAGGCCTAAATGATGACAGGAAAAGAATTGTTAATATTTTTTCAAGGACCAAAATTTTAAAGGAATTAAAACCAAACCAAACCCAAACAGTTCAAATTAGATCCGAAACAAAACAAAACAAATGTGAGCAAAACAGGACAAAACTAAATAAAACAAACATGTTTTTTTWAAAGTTTTCATCCAAAAACATGAACAGGCAAAGAAAAACATCTTTYATATATAAAGGCGACAAAAAAGTTCATATATAAACATATACAAAAACAGAGGAAAAATAACATATCATCTTCCTCAAGTTACTACACGAAACTTATCCTCGGGAACCTAGGGGTAATATCTTCTGTCGCTCGTTCCTCACTCCCAGAAAAAAATACCCCTGGCACGAAGACTATAAGACCTTGTTCTCGATTCGAAATCCAAAATGTATTTGTACTTGTTCTGATTGATCGGGMGGATTAACTCGAACATTCTGATTGTTTGATTAATTTACCGGCCGCTATTTTGAATTTCGAATCGAGAAGAAGGTCTAACTGACTTTGTGCCCAGGGTTGACTCTGGGAGTGAGGAACGATCGACAGAATTCGAAGATAATCCCTGGGTACGGTTCCTGAGAATGCACGAAACTCACTTGTACTAAGTTTCGCACGTGCTCTTTACGCTTTTGCCTGCATTTAGAAGCGGCGACTTTGTTCCTTTCTCTTCTCAATAATCTCCTTTCAAGTTCTTCTTGGGTAACCTTAAATTCAATACAATATAAGTGCTTTGCTGTTGGTCGATACGGGGTCGACCACTAMTGTCAGAACGAAGCTTGTGATTGATCGAGACAACAAAAAAAAAATTGTAAGAATATGTCAGACAATGGCTATTGTTCTGACTGRACATATTCGTTTTTTGTATTGCCTGTCTCTCTTTGTTATTTCATTATATCACAACCTTTGCTCGAACAGTTGTGTACAATTCTAGATACGTGGTAGGGGAAAGTCTGAGATCTCAATAGTGGATTCAAATAATATTTCGGCCTCTTGCATTGGATTTCGAGGTCCCGAGACAAAAAAAAAATGTCAAAAGGGAAGAGGCTCATAACCCATGGCAACCATGATATAGATTTAGACATATTTMATTTTTTCCAATTAATGATTCAACAAAAAATGGTAATTTTCCCAGCGTTTACCATTTCAGTTTTCATGCTTTCTGAGTTGTCAAGTGGCGTCTGATAAAGATACTCAATTTTGGCAGGATCCTCTTCGATAGTGAAGTAAGGTTCATTTTTCACRGGGATTTCCAGGACATTCGCATACTCGTCAGCCGTAGGATCGAGGCAGACAGTTGTAGCGGCAACACTTGGAAACGAGGCAAGACTTACCTCCGCGTTCTGAAAAGGAATCATAGAGTTATTGATATTTTTTTTTGTGAATGAACTTTGAATGAAAGTTTCAACAATTTTCATCAGATGAATGCAAGGAACTACAAGATTCGTTATTTTGATTGACTAGACTTTAATTTGTCCACCGAAGACGCCTCTGACTATACATCTATTCATGTTTTTATTGTGACGCTTGACCGCTTCGCTCTTATACTTCTATGTATTTTGTTCTATCTCGCTTATTCCCTGGTGATGCTGTAGACAGAGAAAGCTCGGAGTCATCCATACTATTAAAGATCTACTCTCAGCAG